CGTCGCGCTGTGATGACGTCACGTACGCGCTTTCGTCGAGCACGATTTTGTCGTCCGCGGTTTTGTGGTGGAACCCATTCTTGGAGAGCACCAGCTCCTTTGGCTATTTGCAATATTTGCATCTAGTCCAATTTAGTAAGTTACTTTTGTTAGCAGAGATGCAAATTCCACAATATATGATCAAAACTTCACTGTTCCTTTATTTTTCAAGTTTAGTCTGCATTTCATAGGTTGTGTTCTAATTGGCTTGATTTATGCAATGCACCAATTTAATTGTGATTTGTGGACCAAGACAAAATTGGCTGCATTTCTATATCAAAAAGGAAATAAGCTAACACAACTAAGTGTGGTAAAAGAATCTAGTCATTGGATGAAAGAGAAACTGCCAAAAGAGCATGCCTAGGTCTCTCAGGGAATTTTGGGGAGATATATATTGGGGTTCAGCAGATCTGAAGTATCATTGCAGCAAGTTAAGCCATTCTCGTCTTTGAAGTGGTCTTTGGTCACTTAGGCCACCCCCTCCATTGGTCATGTTGACAGTATGGCCTAAAATAAAAGATAGTGTTGAAGTAGAAAATAATTTAACAATTAATTACTCTCATACCCAAGGTATGTCTCAAGGGTTATCACTACTCATAACCTATAGCTTTTTGCACAGAGAAAGACATATCTATGAGAAACTATACAAAGAACAAAAGTGACCAATTGCTGTAGGACAGAAGAAATGTGTTTGTGTACTGTAATAGTTGAAATTTTGTATGATGGATGGATTTTCTGTGAAAGTCAGTTGCTGGAATAAGAATAAACAACCCTAGGATTCATCTGTGTGTATTGTGGTAGAAAAAAGAAACTTGGTGTATCTTTTAATGCAGCATGGATTCTATAATGGAGAAACTCCACAGAATGACTTCTATAAAAAGCGCTTTTTAAAAGCAGGATGTACAACTTGTACAGAGGCATTGTTCTCCTTGGTCTTGCTTGGTTTACACATCAACTAAATCTGCCCACACAAGAATCAGTATCCAGAATTCATGCCACAATTTATACCAGCTTTCTTTCACTGTCATATGAACTGAGTGAGGAGTGCAGTTATGACTCAACCACACACAGATGCTATGTATTTGGGCAGATGTAAGTAAAAGATTGTATCTTGTTTGAGATGGCTGGCTATAGAAATTGAATGAATAAATATAAATAAAAGACATAAAAATCAGAGGCAATATAAAGACCAAATACTTGACGTAATGTTCTCTGAACTGCATTGAGCAAGTTGCATTTCAGCCTAATATTAGCTTTTCCATAATGCCAAGCTAGGCAGGTAGATTCAGTTAGTGTGTTTAGAAGAACAGAGAATTAAATAAAGCCCAATTTTAATATATTCTTACTTCAAAGTTTGAATAATGGCACTAATGTTGACCCAACGTGCCCTCTGCAAGTTCCATTCTTCAACTCAAAGCAGATTAGAAATTATCTGAAAGTAAGAGTTTATTAAACTGCATCTGGACATTAACCAATATCTATGGAGAGTCTCAGTCATCCAGGTCAGATTGTCCCAAAGGTGCTTTCTTTCAAAAGGCAACTGATCTTTCTTTGTTTTGCTTGAAGTTTCTTGGATGAGAAGTGAAACATCTTCAAGCAAAACAAAAAGGAAGTATCTTTGGGACATTATCCAAATGTATTTCAAAATCCAGAGATGGCAAAAAGGATAATGCATGGCCATGCTAATTTGAAAAGCAAGAGATTTGAAATAAAAGGCACTCAGATTGGAGAAAGTTGCCAGTGCAGTATTAGCAATAACAGTAGACTTATATACCGCTTCATAGGCCTTTCAGGCCTCTCTAAGCGGTTTACAGAGTCAGCATATTGCCCCCAACAACAATCCGGGTCCTCATTTTACCCACCTCGG